CGTTGGCATCAGCTTGGCCAAGTGCAAGAGTTTTTCTTCCTCTTCTCTGGACCATTCAGTTTTTTTAATCCTTGGGTCCAGCCATTCGTACCATCTAGCTTTGCACAGCTTTGCCGATTTCCTATGCAGCAATGAGGCAATCCTAGACCACTGGTTTTTCCCATATTTCATTACCGCTGCTTTCAGAATTTCATCCTCCGTATTCCTCCACACGCCCCCTTTGATCATAATCCGGGGCATCTTGGCGACGGAGTGTCCGGGCAAGCGGCCGAGAGGAGCTTCGAGAAAGTAGTAACCGCGCTTCGGTCACAGGACGCAAAGAGGCCACTTCCTCCCCAAAGCGACCTGCTTTGAAGAGATCTGCACAGGCGTGGCATAGGCAGCACCCCCGGGAAATCTCGCGAGATCTTAACGGGCGGAAAGCAAAAGACGTGGCTAGTTTGGAACTTTAAGACTTTCCCCTCTGGTCGGGCGGTGGTGGAGCCCGCCTTTCATCCCAGCACTTGGGAGGCAGAGGCAGGTGATCTCTGAATTCAAGGCCAGCCTGGTCTATAGAGTGAGTTCCAGGGCAGCCAGGGCTACACAGAGAAACCCTGTCTTGAAAAACAAAAAAACAAACAAACAAAAAAAAGACTTTCCCTTCTCTTTTATTGTTCTTTAAACTCAACACCTCATCCGTTTAGGCGCTTGGGACTCTTCAGCTTGTACCTTGGACTCCATTAGCCTCACCCAAGCTGTTCAACTAGCTCAGGGCTCCTGGCTCGGCCTTTTGCCAGCCCTGGTCAGGCCTCTCTAACTTGCTGTGCTTCTATGTGGCTTCAGGCCTTCATCCCCTGGCATCTGCCAGTAGTCATCCTGTCATGCTTGGCTGGGCTGGCACCACTCAGCAGGCACCGGGCTGGGGACCCAGTGGGCTTGGGTTAGGCTGCTGTTTTTCTCCATGGGCCTCAGGACTAGGCCTGCTTTCCACCAGGCAGTGTTGGCTTTCCAGAGCAGAATGCAGCTGTTGGGAGAACCGAAGCCTGTGTCTCTCAGCAGCTGCAGGAGTGCAAGGCCTTGCAAGGCGCTGAAGTTCCGCTGTAGTCCAGCTTGAAAGCCATGTTTCTTGTCAGGGTTGTGCCTCTCTACCCAGTAACTTGTCTCAAATTAGTTTGGTTCTATGCCTCTTATTGGGTGCCATTATTATGGTAAAAAATTTAATCTCATTTGGGGGCTTCTACCCTACCTTTGATCTTTCAGCTCTCCAATAAAAGACACACCTTTTGTTATTTACAATAAGCTTTTATCAGCACTAGAGTTGGGCAGATATCTACCCTCTATACTATTATAATCTACTTTCTCTATCAATAACCCTGAGTTATCACTTGCTATGTTCCATCTGGGCTGCTCTTAACACCAACTAGCCAGCCCTCATGGCCATGTCTTTAAGATTCTGACCCCATGGTGTCTTCTCTTCTCTCCTACCATTCTCTCTGTCTCTTCTCTACCCCCAACCAGGTAACTTAAAACCCACCTACCTCTAATTCCTCCAGTAATTGGCTGTACTTTTGTTTAACCAGTAGTTTTAAATTAAGAAGCAAGGTTTGCACAACAAAAGCTTGTAAATACACTAGCTTTTGAGAACGCACTTATAGGTCTAGACCTTCGAGTACAGAATTTAGCATTACAATAATGCCAACAGACCAAGCCTCAACAGGAAACCTGCAGTACAACATGACGCTCCAGTGTCTCAGAAAGAGAAGGAATGGTGGTCATGCTCAGGTACTGGTGGGGGTAGGAAAGTATTTTAAACAAAGGTGTTGAAAAGTATGATTTTTTTTTTCTCCCCAAACAATGCTAGGAATCAATCAAACCCTCAGGGTGTAAGAGACAGGCTCTCACTATGTTGCTGAGACTGGTTGAGCCCCATATCCTTCCAGTCTTGGCCTCCATTAGCATGCACTAGAATGCCTAACTGAGTTCAGACTGGAGAGAAGTAAGAGGCAAAGCGGACACAGGAAGCAAGCAGTAGCCTTCAGGGCAGCAGCAACCATGTGCACCCACACATGCATGGTGGAAAGAAGTCAGGTGAGAAGGCTTCAAGGATGATGACTAGTCTAGGGAGGGGTGAGGCTGCTGGGTAAGCAGGAGCCAGTCCCGACTGACAGGTATGTCAGACTTATTAGCAAAGATGAAAGTGTTCGGTAGGAGTAACACAGTCAGACATGGTCAGGACGGTGGCTCTGGGAAGCACAGAGGGGATGAATAAAAGACAGGAGGAGCAGCTGACGACTCAAGTTTCTTCTCTGAGAAGTGAGAGTGTATTAGGCAATTCATAGTCATCTCAGCTCTGTTCTATAGAAAAATGATATCGTCATGACCCTTAGACAGCTACTCTCTTCTAGCTGACTGTACCTTAATCTTAGAAAATCTGTAATTGCTGGGCGGTGGTGGCACACGCCTTTAATCCCAGCACTTGGGAGGCAGAGGCAGGCGGATTTCTGAGTTTGAGGCCAGCCTGGTCTACACAGTGAGTTCCAGGACAGCCAGGATTACACAGAGAAACCCTGTCTCAAAAAAAAAAAAATCTGTAATTACATTAATTCTAACATTTGGACACATAAAATTGGAAGTGTACCCTAATTATTATTCTTCCTTAGTTCTGCATCGGAAAACAGCTGCTCCCATCCTGCCATGTCAGTGACCTCACTTTCAGAGCCTGACCTAAATGGGTCGCCCTCCTTGTCCACAACTACTGATGAGGAGTTGTCCAACCTAGAGAAAAAGACTCCTGGGGATGGCAGAGCGATGACCTACGCCAACGAGCTCATAAACAACATGTGGAACAACTTTTCTGTTGAAGATTATATTAAGTATGACTCAGACCTCCAAACAGCTAAGAAAAAAAGAAAGAAACCTAAATCCTGGACGCCCAGGATTACAGTGCCTGTGCCCTTTGAAATGACAGTAAGGGAGCAGAATCGGAGAGAGAAGGCCTCGAATGCTCGGTCAGATCTGGAAACGAGACAGAAGCTGCTCAAGACGACCGAGGACGATGCAGAGTGTAAGAAGAAATTCCGAGCCAATCCTGTTCCTTCCGGCATGCTCCTTCCCCTTTACGAGGATCTAGTCAAGCAGAGTGAGGAGCGTAGGAAGAAGGCTCGGGAGAGGAGCAAAGCTGCACTCCTGGCCTCCCAGAAGCCCTTTAAGTTCATTGCGAGGGAGGAACAGAAGCAAGCAGTCCGTGAGAAGAAGCTGAGAGACCTTTTTAGGGCTAAAAGGAAAACGAAGCAGTTTAAAGCCAGACCTGTGCCTCATTTTATTTACAGGCCAGCTGCAAATGACAAGCCAAAGGAAAAAGAGCTCTATGGGGTCAGCAGGATGCAGCCAAAGGCTAGAGATCTGCTACAGAATTCACTTTGGTCCAGTCGGCCAACTTACAGACATTTCAGGGACCCCAGAAGTCCTGCAAAGCCAAGGGGTAAACACAGGCGTAAGTGCCTGAGCCCGGGTGATGGAGACTTGGAGAAATGGAGGAAATCCTTCTCTGAACACAGCTTTCTGAAATGCCCAGTGCTTTGTGAACAGTGTTGTCTTCTTGAATCCCCGTGTGACTCCGATAAAAGACAGAAACTCTTGGTAGACATCAGATCAGATGAAGAAAATTTGAGAGAAACATGCAAGCCTAATCTGTCTCCTAGGCGTAAATCACCCAGAAGAAGCAAGTACATGAAGCCCAGGCCCCGTGAATGCAGCCCACCGATGCCCACCACGTCTTCCCGAGGGCGGGAGCAAGCCATCAGGTAAGGCACCGGGATGAGCACTCCCTGTCACATGGTTGCTGAATTGTTATATGAAGTCTTGTGTGTTTTAGCTTGTTAAATCAGAATTT